AGATGATTTATATCGAGAATTTTCAGTACTCACAGTTCAACAATTATTTTTAGGATCATTAATACTAAGGCAACATCGTATTAAAACGCCAAAAATACCTGACCAACGACGGTCGCCGACTGTTTATATTCCATTGTGTAGAACTATGTTTGTTCGGAGTTTCATCTATATTTTGGGTCCCCGGGTATACAATCGAGTCTGTCGAATCATTGAATCTTTGCCAGGTGAAACTTATTTCAATTGCAAAAAAAATGTTACCGAGTACTTATTAACCTTAAATTACTCAGCTACTGAAGAGTTACTTAAAATATGAGGTATATATAATACATATTTATTAAATATATTTATGTTTATTTTTAGTCCTAATCTTATCCTTTAAACGAGCAATTCTTGTATATATGTATATATATATATATATATATATATATATATATATAATCGGAATCTCGGAAACGGCTCCAGCGATTTTCATGAAATTTAGTATGTGCATAGATTCGGGGGCGAAAAATCGATCTAGCTAGGTTTCATTTTTAGAAAATGTCATTTTATCCCTGTTTTCAGTAAATTTCGCCGTAAGAGAAAATGTCATAATAGCTCTGTCGGTAATCGGGCGGCCCCAAAACAGACGGCCGTGGTTCGCGTCACGATCATCTACACATTTATTTTTTTACTTTTTTTTCGATTCCAGATCATTGCTTTCTTTATTTTTAATTTTTTGTCGATTTGTTATTTTGTTATTTTTTCCCCTTTTTTTAAAGTTCTTTCTTTTGTGAAAAACATCAGTTCATATTTTCTTATTATTACGTCGGTAAGATCGAAAAATATTATGCATATTTCATTACTCAGTAATTTGTATCTAAATGTAATTTCCAAAATACACGATTTACCAAAAAAAAAAAAAAAAAACAAACCGAGCAAAGCTCGGCCCTCCGGGTACTTATAATTAAATAAGAATGTAATACAAACTCCGTATAATTGTTAATAAATATATGTAATATAATATTCATGTATGTTTATGTCTGTTTTAAAATATATTTTAATAAATATTACAGTCTCATTAAAGTTTATCTGTATTTGTATGTACATATATTAGTAACTAAAATAGTTTAACACTCATATTGACACACAAATTAGTTTAGTTCAAAATTGTTTAAAAAATGTTTTAGTCATAAGTATAATGTTCTGTTTGTTTTGGGTATACTGTCATTCATTTTTATTTTTTGCACTTAATAACAGTAACCATACGACATTGACCTTTCAAACCACAACTTTGTCATGTTAATCACGTCTTACTTAAGTTGGACAATATGGAACGGTGATACTGCTCTGCCGCAACACAGTTCTTACTAGCGCGGAGGGTAGTCGTCATTTTTCTGCTGTTGCCACTTACGGTATGAGCATATTCTTAGTAGGCAGAGGAGCAAGCGAGTCACCCGATGATAAGCGACCACCGTCGCCCATGGACACTTGCAACAGCGGAGAAGTTACAACGTTGCCGGCGATTAAGTTGAGGCTCTCTTCTTGAACGTCCCAAGTCGTATCGGTCCGGAAATACCGCTGGCGACAACCGGGGCAGAAAATTGGGTAAAAAATGCAGTGGTGGGCCGCCAACCATCGGAGTTTTGTCGATTGTAAATGGCGGTTTCACGACGGTAAAATTCAACAGCAGATATTAATCCGAACAATTCCTCAGAGAACTCTTCGTGATAAATCCGAAATTGCAAAGGGGTGCTAAAGAGTCAAGGCAAGGACAGAACCTGGTCGAAGATTTAAGCAGCTTTTTGTTGGATGCGGTCAAATAGAACGAGCTTTTGTACGATCTATAGGATTTTGGTGCCCCAGTACAGAGGTGAGAACAGTTTTCAATGTGCGTCCGAATCTGTGCTTTATAGAGCTGTAAGCGATGGGCCAGCAGGAAATACAGTGTCACTCTATTTACGAAACTGAGTGCCTTCGAAGCCAGCTTGCGATTTTCCAGTCTGGCTAAACTAAGAACAAACATTTTTTCTATGGACTTTCCGTGACATATAATGGCAGATATTGCTATCACACTCCCTCAGGACGGTTTCTCTTTCTTGCAATACTTCCGCCAAGTGTCAGCCTAGGCCATGTTGTTTGTCAAAACATCATTTCTTGTCGTGTTTTTTAAACGTAAAATCTTGTTTGATTGTGGATTTTAATTGTTTAAAGAGTAATTTCTCATCAACATTTGTGACGGGTGATCAGAGATGTACTTTGAATTAAAAATGCCACCAAAAAGACGGTTTATTACTTGGAAATTTGTAAAAACGATGTCCTTTAGATGAAGGCAGGTAAACACTTAAATATGATACTTTGCAGCCATATGTAAATGGCTAGGAACTAATAAAATTAACCAATTTATCTTATTAAAATTGTGTGCTAGTGATGTAGTGCAACTGTAATATACCACGTATCGTAGACCACGTTATTGTTTATCATTGAAAAAAATAAGAAATAAAATGTTTCGTGAAATATTAGGGGCAGAATGTTTTAAACATTTGAATGGTGTGCCTATATAATTGAGCAAGGATTGGGATAGGTGAATTTTGGATTTTGAAACATAATCTCTATAATATTGATACTTAATTTAATCTTATTATAATTAATTTCGTGCGCTGAGTATGCAAGAAAACTTAAATATTTTTAGAATTTTGATTCTATTTTTATGTTTCAATTATTTCCAGACTGTTGGCTGAAGAATCAAGAGTCAAGAAAAAAATAAAATTTTCTAAGTCCAATCTTATTAGTACCAAATATCCCCTCATCAACCTTGGACATAAATACGAATTCGATACTTAATTAAAATTAATAAAAAATATTTACTGGAAACCTCGTTTTAATAATAGATAAAAAGCTATTGCACATAAAAAAAGCATTACTAAGCACTATATGGCTCGTTAGGTTGGTACTCATGTTTTTATGACATGTTTGTGGTATCAGTTGGTATTAGAGTGCCCGTCCCTTAAACGTAGTCTCCTTAAACGTAGAAATCCCGTCTCTTAAACGTAGTCATTACATTCTCTCTGGGTTTTTCTTCCAAATGACCGCAAAATTTAACGCCGCCCGATATTTTAACGCCAATCTGTGGCAACAAACAATTAGTCGGCCCCGAACCAAGATTTTGCTCTACTTCGACCTCGACTTCAGACTATTTGAACCTCGAATTCAGACACAAGTTTATTCTCACCCACGTCAATTTATTCCTGAGAAATATTTGCCAGGATACGTCCAAATTTTTTAAGTCCACATTTTTTTCTCGGTGGTAGGGCCACGCACCACCCTCGGCTGTTGCACGAATTCGCAGGCTCCTCCGGGTAACTATCACGACCTCACAGAAGACCGGCTTAAAGTGGACTTACTTTCGCGTTTCGTCTGGTGAGTGAGGTGGCTGGAGCCCAATTTTCAAAAGGTGACAACGCATCTGGAACTCTCGGGTGTAGCAGATGTCCAGGGGCGGCGGTATTCACTTAACATCAGGTGGACCGCCTGCTCGCTTGGCAACTTTTCACATTAAAAAAAGGTCTAATGCTTCTTTGTAATTTGTTATAGATAGGTCACGGTAATATTTGATTTTCTGATTTACAAAAAATCCGTTCCCGTGAGAACGTTAAATGTATAGATAAAAATCTTGCCCAGTAATACAAAACGAATAATAAGTCGGAAGTTATGAAGTCCGTTTCATTATTATTTTCATTCATTTTCTAATTGCACCTTTAAATTTAGAATGAGAGCATGCTCCTTATGGATTTGGAATAGAACTGCAAATCTATTATCATGAGTATGGGTATAGACAAGTGCAATGAGATGAGAACAAACAGAGGATATAGTAGGGATGTAATGTTGCCTATTATGGGACGTAAATAAATTAACACTAATTTGTTGTGGTACTTTATTGATTTCAGAATCTACAACATCTATTAAACGGATATGTCTACTACTATGCGATACATGTTGTCTATTGGTATGCACTGGATACTCTAAATTCTAATATTTGATTAATGTTAGAAATATTCAAAAATTCTAAACCAGATATGTGAGTAATTGTGTAAACGTCAAGAGTTATCTATTAATTAATAGAAACATCAAGTCAAAACATTGAAAATTCCATCTAAACATTTATATCAATAGTTTAAACATTAGTAATATACATTAAATGTTAAAAAGTTTTTTTTTTTTGTTTAAATATCCTTATAATATACGTATATATTAAAGAACATCAATATAAAGTTATAATAGATTTTTATAAATATATCTTATCTTATATTGTAGAAGTATAGTAAACGGTAAGTAACCACAGAAGTAGAAGTATTAAATCAACAGTATAAAATAGTTAATTGAAAATAGTTAACTTTTTTACGTATTAGGCCAAAGTATAGGGTCACGAAGGAAATTCATGTAAATCTAAACGAGATAAGTAAGAATATAAGACATAAATAAATTAACAAATGTAGATAACAAATATGAGAAATTTCTCTTAAAATAAGTAAGACAGGGTAAATTAAGGTTAGAAAATCCGGTCATTGTTTAACAAATTATTTGTTCTATGTGTTTGTCAGAAAGATAACTAGATAGTAAGTAGTACACTGAACTTGATTATTATATCATTATGTCTACGTAAACGATTACATTTTAATATTGTTTATAACAGTAAAGAGAACATCGATATCATTGAATAGAAGGATAATGCATTTTTGTTATTTTAATAAACATCAAATAAATCTACGATTTTTTTTTTGATTAACACACGATGCACTACTCGTAACACTTAATGTTGTTTTGATTAAATAATGATAATAAGAGCTGTCCATTCTTTTGAAAAACTACGTTACCGGGGTTACAAGCCATCGACCATACACATTTCTATACTTAGGCCTTTTTAGGCTTCATCGTATAATTTACCAGCACCATTTGTAAGACCACTTAGAGCGTAGTTTTTCAGCCTCGCCACGTTCAGGCGAGGCATCGCAACGCCGACGTCAGTATTCCTCGTCCTCGCTCCGCTGTTTTTCCGGGGTTTTTTTACCTTTTGATTCGCTAGCATTCTTTTTGCCTTTGTCAGCTTTCTTGGTTTTTTCAGATTTCTTTTCTTTTTCAGACTTCTTAGCTTTTTCAGATTTTTTGCCTTTGTCGGACTTTTTGTTCTTGTCAGATTTTTTGCCTTTTTCACGTTTTTTCCCTTGTGAACTTGCAGGAGTAGAATCATTTTCTCCTATATCACCTGATTTATCCTGGTTTGAGGATACATCCATTGAATAACGTTCAATGTTCTTGAAAGGTTCAGTGTCGCTGTGTGAACGTTGGCCACTTAGGTCGCTAGAAATGCTCTGGTCACTTAAATCGCTCGAATCACCTGAATCAACCTGGATTTGACCGCTTAAGCCGATTTGGTCGCCCCGCCTGAATTGAGCGCCTTGAGCAACTCGGCCACCCGGATCCACTGGGTTATCTAAGCCAATTTGTTTGCTAGGACTGATTTCATCATCTGGATTTATTAGTTCCACAGTGCTTATTTCACAGCCCGGCTCAAGTTTGTCACCAGGACCGATTGGGGCACTTAAGCAGATTTGAACGCACGGATCAGTCAAGCCAAAACTAACAGGCTTATCTTGGTCACCAGGGTCTATTGCATCATTTTGCCCGACTTGGGTTTCAGGATCTAGATTTTCTTCTGGGTCATTTTTTTCGTCAGGGTCGCCTTTTCCACCTCTTTCAATTTTTGCAGCATGATCCATTTTTTCGTCAGGATCGATTTTTTTACCAAGATCAATTTTGATTCCAGTAACATGTATGCTACCGGGGTCAACCTGGTCATCAGGACCAGTTTTGGTGCCAGAATCGTGTATTATGCCACATTGATCATTGAGGATAGTAGCGTCTTTTTGAATAGCCAGATGTACGCTTGCATCACGTTGTTCATGTTGGCCATGTTGTGTACTCGTATCAACTTGGACACGTTGGGTATTTGGATCACGGGGACTATTCGGATTTAGGTTAACTTGAGTGGCCGAAACAGATTGAGCTCTTGGATCGTGTTGGGTTATTAGGTCACGCTCGATGCTAAAATCAGGAAGAGCGTTTGGATCGAGTTGCACGCGTGAGCCACGTTGAGAGCTCGAAACACATTGCACGCTTGGGTCACGCGCAAAGCTTAAGTCACGCTGTACGTTTGGCTCGCGTTGAACGCTTTGGCTGCGTTTAACGATCGGGTCGCGTTGGAAGGCCAAGTCCAAAAGTCCATGTTGACGACCGGTAGATTGAGATCGTTGTTTTCGTGGATCTCTAGATCTTTGACGGCGTTCATTGCTCGTAGAGCGTGCTTTGTGTTTCTTTGATGGATGGTGGTCACATTCTTCACTCTGAGAACGTCGATTGCGTGCGGACGGTGATTCTTGGTAACATTCGCTGCTTCGGGATCGTGGAGCATTTCGGGAGTCTTGGTTTGATTGGGTGCCGTTGTCGCCAGTGGTAACAGGGGTCGTGCTGCTAGCGGCTGCTGCTCTAGCACTCCTGTGCCTGTACCGATATTGGGATTGATTAAATATTTTTAATATACTGCAAAGTCAACACGAACGCTGTTTGCTTAGAAGTGAATAGTTTAGGCATAACGTGCAAGACATTCTAACATACAAGCTTTAACAATAATAAATATTAATACTTAAACAAATAGTATAAAACAAATTGAGATTGGAATTGGAACTGGAAATGGAGTAAAATGAAGAAAGCAAGAAAGCAAGAAAGCAATAGTACAATGATTTGTTATAAACGAGTTCAAATAAATTTTTGTTATGTGTATTTGTTACTTTTCAAATAGAATGAAATAAAATAATTATTTTGATATAAAACGAGCGTGACCTAACCATTTCGTAACTTTCAGTCTTTGTTTTCAACGCTTTCTGCATGGTGCGCTTGGGCATACATGCATGTGTCCGCGCATTTATGGAAAAGTTTATAAGTATTAAATAAAATAACATCTTTATTCATTATATTTCATCCAAAAATATTTAAATGGGCCTCTTAAATTTTTTAATCACCAATTCCCATTCACGAGGATGAGGACATCAACTTATTAAAATTTCATGGCAATTTAAAGAAAGATTCGATTTAAAAATAAAACAAATAAAATAAAGTGACGATTCACAACTAAAAAGTAAAAAGGTAATACCTAAATAATAGAAAATACGAAGTAAACAAGAGCCAAAGCTACTAAAATTGGGCTAATACTCTAAACTAGCAAAAAGTTTTGATTTAAGCGTTTGCAAAAGTTTATATCCGTTTTGAAATTGCCACTACTTTAAACCTGTGCTCTCAATCAAAGTTGTATAAAGGTTCTTGCCTCGCAAAAATCGTCCTCAACGCTGCGAGCGCTCTCTGTCATCCTTCTTGCTTCGACTGCCAGGCACCCGTGCTGAAGTAGGGGCTGACAATTTTTTTTAAATATTATTATATTTAACAATTATAATACTAATAATTTAATGTTTTAAATATCAAATCAATAATTACATTAATTGTGGTAGGTGTCGCTAGCTATGATAGATGAGACACAGCATTCTAATCGAATTTCATCATAGTTTTACACAGAATATTTTTCTTCTTTTCTATTTTTTAAACAAATTAGACAATCTACATTTAATAGGACGCTTAGTATTTTGTCATTTCGTCACTGCTATTATTGTAGTTATTATTTAGGTTGTTATACTATTAATTGATTGAAAGTTTATAACTTCTTAATAAATGTTCATATATTGTAAATGAGTTAAATTATGTTCAAAGTATTTGAGTTTGGAAAAGTAATAAATCGTTATCATCTCCATTTGAAGCAGAATCTGCTCACTGCATCGCAGCGCATGCGCGAAGTATCGATCGACTCGCATTGCAAAACGCGCAGCCTTTTCTAGAATACTTGGTTTTGACTAATAAATCGCATGGCAATTAGTGCCCAATTATTTTTAAGTAAATGAAATTCATAACAAATTCTCTAGCATTTATTTGAAATTATCAAGCAAATGGCAATGGAAGCCATATCTGTATGGTAATAAGACACAAGGCACCCGCATGCGCAGTACCTACCCTAGGACACACCCTTAAAACATTACGTACATTTATTTTAAAAATATAAAATAGCAGTTGCACAGCGTTGATTAGTGATATAATTTTTTTAGAATAGATTTGTCATTTATGGCTTTATAGAAATTTTGAGACTGTATATTTAGAGATGTCTATGGATACACACAATAGATAGAAGTTAAAAAAATCAATTCTGGACACCGAATAATAATATCTTACCTTCTGCAGCCCGACTTCATTCTCCTCTCTGGGCTGGCTTCAGCACCTTGTGCCTGCGATCGGCGCCATAATAAATATTTAATAAGTTTAACCAATAAAATCATCTTATTAAAATTCATTTTCTTCTCGAGTGTAGATTACTTTAAAGATTTTTCGTATATGCCAATTAATTGAATGTAAGGAGAAATTTATCAAAAGATTAATATTTGCTTGAGCCGCGTATGACACAACCAATTCGTAGGTCCAACACCCACAGACTGCGCACCGAACGAGCTCTGCTGGACCCGGGCATTGAGATAACACGCATGCGTCCTTGCGTCTTCGACAAGATCAATACGTATCTTAAAATGGATGGACCACAAACAGGCTAATTATCAATTGTAATAACCGCATCACGGTATTGGTATCTTTAATTTTCAATTAAGAAGTATTCACCGATATTCTGAGTCGAGATAAGAATAAAATTTAATGATCGGGAACAGAGATCAGAGCGCAAAAGAAAATTTTGAATGTTTTAATAGTCTATATTTCCATTAGTCGAGATACACCAACGAAATACTGCTAACTTTATATTTTGATGTGAGAATAAAATCTAGTAAAATGAACATATATTATTATTTTTGTAACAAACGAATCTTTATAAATAAAAATGTTTGTGTTCGTTGCTCCTTATTGGCGGAAAAACATTTCTTTTCAAATACATAAACGCTATAAAATCCTTAAAATTGTTTCAATCTTTTATATCACAGGTTGCTCACCCGGAGGTTCTCACACGGACAATCAGGCTCTTTAGAAAACTTCTTATATCTGCCCAGACAATGGAACAATGTACAAAACAGAATATAATATACCTTGTTTAGATTGGACACATTGCTTGTTAAATATTTTTTTTACTATTATAGATGTAATGTTTTTCAAAGTCAAAGTCAAAGTATATTTATTCAATATAGGCCTAACTTAAGCTCTTATTGAACGTCAACAAAAAATCTACCATCGGTTCACTAAACTAGACCTGCGCAGAGAAGAACTGGCAAGAAACTCTGCGGTCTTGTTCTTTTTGTTATATATATATATATATATATATATTTGATGCAATTATACACACTTATTTAGGTATAAAATCAGCAGCAGCCAGGGGTCTTGCAAGTGCAGAGCAAGAGTCATTTCCAAACATCCTTGTCCTCAATGTATTCTTGGATATTATAGTAGGTCCTTGCCATTAAGGTAGCTTTTACACATTATTTGAAATTGTTTATACTTAGTTGTTTGTGGATGTCACCTATTTTATTATAAAAGTTGATGCATCTTCCAAGAAACGACTTTCTGGTTTTAGCCAATCTAAACCTCGGTACTTCCAGAGTGTCACCACGGCCCCGACGCGATGTGGATTGTTTTTTCGTAAATAGGTGGATATTATTACGTACATACATGATGTTCTCAAGTATGTAAAACGACGGGAGCGTCAAAACGTTTATTTGCTTAAATATATGCCGTAGCGACTCACGTGGACCCAAGCCATAGACGGTCCGTATAGCCTGACTGTAATACAAATATTGTGTCTCAACCGGATGTGGAACCCCAAAGTAAGATACCATAGGACATTATGCTGTGAAAATAAGCATAATAAACTAATTTAGCTGTTTCCTCGTTAGTTAGCTGCCTGATTTTGCGTATGGCAAAGACGGCAGCGCTCAATTTCTTAGCTAACTTATCTACATGAAATCCCCATTGCAACTTGGAGTCAACGCTTATTCCAAGAAATGCTGTTGAATCCTCAAGGGGTAGGATTTTCTCATCAATAGATATTCCTGATTGGTGACACAACTTTGAAAGAGTAAATCTAATACATTTTGTTTTATTGGAGTTCAAAAGTAAGTTATTGGTAGCAAACCAGCCAGACACAACATCTAGTATTTCATTTGGTTGTTCCAGTGCATCATCTTTCCTTTTAACTTTAAACAATAATGAAGTGTCATCCGCAAACAAAACAATTTGAGACATTTTTTCCACTATATATGGCAAGTCATTAATATAAACTAAAAACAGAAAAGGGCCCAGGATCGATCCTCGAGGAACGCCCATTTTTACTTTTGACCCCGTTGACAATATACCATTTATGATTACTTTTTGTTCCCTGTCAGTAAGGTATGAGGAAACAAAGTCAATGGCACAATTGCGAATACCATAATATTCCAATAGTTTATTGGACATGCCTACTTTGTAATAATTTTTAGGAAGGATTAAAGAAAAAAAACTGTTTTCACAAAAACATTTCCAGCTCACCAGGTTTGCTGGCAGAGAACTCATGTATTGAGTTAAGCTTACCTTTTGTACATTATTGTCATTTTCATTATTTTTTTATATCTTGTGTTTTGTGTACAATAAATTTATTATTTATAATAAATAAATAAAATAAAAACCGGCCAAGTCGGACTTGCACACGAAGGATTCCGTAGTACCATACCGTCTATAAAAACGGCAAAAAAATCATGTCTGTTGTATCGGAGTCCAACTTAAATATTTTTTTATTCTGTTTTTCTAGTATTTGTTGTTATAGCGGCAACAGAAATACATCATTTGTGAAAATTGCAACTGTTTAACTATCACTATGAGATACAGCGTGGTGGCAGACGGACAGACAGACAGCGGAGTCTTAGTATTAGAGTCCCATTTTACCCTTTAGGCACGGAACCCTAAAAACGATTCTGCAATTTGTTAAGCTTTGTATTCTGGGTAAAAACGTACCTTTGCAGGTTGACTTGATGTCGTCATTTCAGATGGTAAATTAGTTTGGCTGTTCACGTGGCCCATTTTAGTGAGTGGCGGATTTTTTAAGGAGTATGAAAACGCCAATCCGCGTCTCAGCGAAGCTCTGTAACATTGAAATCATGTCACAACCCTGACAAGTATTCACAAATAATGATTAGAAATATTTATACTCTTCGAAAATTGAAATTAGAATATTTACCAATAACTTGAATAAAATAACTTGACCCAATCCTGATTTGATCGACGTATTAACATTAAATTGAAAGGAAGAGACGAAATAATGAAAAATATTTTCATGTTTTTGTTTTTTTACCTTTAAAACTATTTACCTCTTATTATTTGTATTTAGTTTTATAGTTTTATTTAATGCATGACACTTAAATTCATATTGTTTATTTAATCAGCGCCATCTGTTGTTTAATAAAGATTGCCTCAAGACATAGATGTCACTACTTCAATGTGTTTAACTATAATTGTCTAAGTTTGCAATAAACAGTATCTACTCTATTAAAGGAAAATCTCCAAATAATCTGTTATCCCCATTATTTTTTAAGCATTAAAATATGTTCGATAGCGGTGAAATAACCCTCGTCTCTCACTTTGCATATGACACTTTCCTAAATGGTTGAGGGCTTAGGTTAAAATAATAGTTTCAGTAGATCGTGCCTGGTTGGGCTGGGTGTCGGGTAGCTGGTACCACGCTGATCAGGGTTCAAGAACTGCTGCTGTTGTTGCGCTGATTGTCTGTGTTTCTGCAGTAGCTCGTTGTGTGACTTGTATAGTTTCTCCGAAGCTGACTGCTGCGTTGGGCTGCAGTGACGTTTTAAATGATTCCATTTCGTTTGTCATATATCCAAAGCTGAGTTACTGTTTAATATAATATTTGAGTTGAATTCAAACTGAAAAACATGTCATGTAGTTGACTAACATGTTTTTCTGAAAAGAATTTTCAAAATTTATCTGATAGAAACTAATACATAGGTATATAAGATATAAATAACATTTAATAAAGTCCAATGCGCTGAAGATTTCTTCATAAACATTTCCTCTATTGTCACTGAGACAACACTTTACTGATCGCGTTATTTCTCATAATTTTGTTAAGATGGCGCTGTTTGTCATTGTTAGCAACATTTTGCAAATATAACTTTTGGTTTCTATTAATTTGTAGTAAATTTTCAAAAACATATAAATGTTATATTGTACAAGTAAATCAAATAAGTATTGCCTTTATTATCCTTTAATTTTTATTTTTTTTATTTTATCGACTGAAAAATTTATTATAATAATGTTCTGTGAGCAATAATATACAGCGTGTCGTTACCATCGCGACAATAAATGAACACACGTCTAACGCTACTTGCCAATAATCATAAAAAAATATTAACGTTAAACAAAATCCATAATTAAAAAAAATATTTTTCAAACAAACTAATTAAGTAAATATGAAACAAAATTAGTAACATCCTATACAACTCGCGCCACAGCGTCGCATTACAAGCCTCTGCTTCTAACAGTATGTTTTGTCTCTTTTAAATTCCTTCAAACCCATTCATATGCTTTGTGACCTTTACAAATGTATTTTACGTTACAGTTTTATACGTGAGGGTATTCTAAAATTCTTTGTTTTGGAAAATTTAATAACTCTGTAAATATAGATGTTTAAAGAATGTAAATGTTTAATACAATTTTAAAAATGTATCCCCTATATGTGTGTTCATTTATTGTCGCGATTGTAAAGACACGCTATATATCTAATGATGGGTACTTCTTATATAAACTAAAAAAAAAGCTATCATATCGGCGGTAATTTGATATCGAATGGCAGGATCTTTTTTCTTGCGAGGAAATAAGGTGTTTTTGTATAAACAAAATATCAAATAAAACAAGGAAGAAAAATTCCTTTATTCAGCACAAGAACTTGAAACAAATACTTGTAACTTAAACAAAACTTTAATAATACAGAAGCATAAATACATTGTATTGTGTTTGTCTCGTTTCTGAAGCCTTGACTAGACTAGTATAAAACGTAGAGCTGACTCCTAAGCAAGCTTTGATGGCGGATGTATTATTGCGTGCTTATGATGCAAACAAAATTAAATTGTAACAAATGTACAAACAAAATAAATGTGTAAATTAATATAACAATTAAAAATGCTTAAATAACTAACTAAACAATAGGCGAACGTGTCAGAGGATGTTTAGGGTAAGTAGTTACCTTTGCGTTTGACGTGGAGTCGCTGGTTCGATGGTCAGGTCGGGAAGGCTGTGCACAAGCGTCCCGGCGCCTTCCTGAGGCTGCACGCGAAGAGTGCTGGGGCTGGCACTTGCGGCTCTGGGGCCGCGGCCATGGGCACTGTAAGAGCTCTGGGCGCTTCGAGACCTGGGACTGTGCGGTACTTGAGTAGGGCCGCCAGCCGAGATCGGTGGAATCGCTATTGGTACAGGTATCGGTACAGGCAGCACTCCAGGTGACGGAGTCTTAATAGATGTTTGTAAAGGTGGCGGTATCTTTGTAGCCATTGCTGCCGGAATTGGAACTGGTATCGGAAGCGCTACTGCCGCTGACATCGGTGATGGTGTTAGCTCTGGTGGTTGTTCCGATTTTGGCTCCGGTTCTGACGGCAACTGCGTGTGCAACTGCGTGGGCTGCTGCGTGGGCTGCTGCGTGGGCTGCTGCGTGGGCTGTTGCGTGGGCTGATGCGTGGGCTGTTGCGTGGGCTGTTGCGTGGGCTGTTGCGTGGGCTGATGCGTGGGCTGCTGCGTTGGAAACCATGTGGGAAACCGCGTGGGAAACTTCTTGGGTAACATTGCAAGCAATTTCGCAGGCAACGGTGCAGTTAACTGCGCTGCCAACTGAGCGGCCAGCCTTATGGCTGATGGCAAGGGTCTCTCCGGGAACTGCGGAGGGTACGGCGTGGAGAACGGCGCGTGGAACGGCGCGGGGAAAGGCGTAGGGAAAGGCGCGGGGAACGGTGCGTAGTACTGCGCGGGGAACTGCGTAGGGTACTGCGCAGGGAACTGTGTGGGGAACTGTTCGGGAAAATTCGGCGGGTACTGCCCGGGGAACTGCGTATGGTACTGCGCAGGGAACTGTGCGGGGAACTGTTCGGGAAAATTCGGTGGGTACTGCCAGGGGAACTGCGCGGGAAATTGTGAGGTCCAATGCGCACGCTTCTGAGCCTTCGCCGCAAGCACCCATGAGGGCAACGGCCTGGGCACCAGCTTAGGCGATGGTGCCGTGAATGGTGGAGGCATCGTTGTCTGCAAAGTCTCCGGGAAAGGCGTCAGCGTTGGGACCAGTACTGGTATCTGTACGTGAATTAAAACCATATGAGCAAATAATCTCCCTTGTACACATTTTCTATCAATTTAAACTGACAAGTAATACTTTAAACAAATAATGGTAGTTAATAATGGAGTCCATTATTAACTGCTAGCCAGGATTGCCTTCCGACCGGGTTCCTGATTTATCGTGGTGGAGGCACACTTAGCCGATCTGTGCTGTAAGGCCAGTTCAAAAGGGCCGCTACGAGTGGGCTTATTGAACTTACTTCAAATGCGTTCAGGGTGTGTATGGAGAATAGGTGGTAGAGGTGGAGCCACTCTTCTTGTCCTTTGCAACTAAGGTGTCGCAACCCGAGTCGCGGGGGAAGAGGAGTGTTGGTATTGTGTTTCGCCATTCTCCCTATCCTACACCACTCCGTGGGGCTACACCGCTGATGCAGCAGTAGTATCGTAGTGGGGGAAAGGAGGAACATACGAGCGATGTTGATGTACCTTTATCCCTAATCTCTGTAGCCAAAACCTAGTGAGTCGTGGAGGCATAGTCCAATGACAGACACACTTTCTGCATGGCCCCCATTCCCACTATTCCTGCCCTTGGTAGCAGGCAAGGTAACGGTGGAGCAGGGGGTGCTTAGAATCTCCGGCAGATGCCACGCTACCACCCCAAACAGACCTTGGCCCTGGCAACTCACAATGTCCGCACACTCAGGACTGACGAGAAGATTATCGAGCTGGAGGAGGAATTGAGTAAGTTGCGATGGGACATACTGGGACTATCAGAAGTCCGTCGAGAGGGGCAGGATACGATAGTTCTGGATTCCGGCAACATGCTCTTCTTCCGGGAAGGAGACCGAAAATCCCAGGGTGGTGTTGGGTTTCTCGTCCGTAAGCCAACGTAGTGAAGTACAACAGTGTGTCGAGTAGGGTAGCGTACCTTATACTCAGAATCACCGATCGGTATTCGCTGAAGGTCATACAGGTATATGCGCTGACCTCGACACATCCCGACGATGAGGTAGAGGCTATGTATGAGGAGATATCAGCAGCCATACATGCCTCCAAAACTTACTTCACGGTTGTTATGGGGGACTTCAACGCAAAGGTTGGCGCCAGGCAAGGCGATGAGTTGAGAGTGGGAGCATACGGATATGGGCAGCGGAACCAGAGGGGTCAGAATCTGGTCGATTTTATGGAGGAGGAGGGACTCTACTTGATGAACTCCTTCTACCAGAAGCGTCCGTCCAGAAAATGGACTTGGATAAGCCCCGATGGTTCAACCAAAAATGAGATCGACTTCATCATGACGACCAAGAAGCGAATATTCAATGATGTCTCCGTGATCGGCAGGGTGAAAACCGGTAGTGATCACCGTATTGTTAGAGGCACATTGAATATCAATGCAAAGCTTGAAAGGTCACGCCTGGTGAAGTCCACGCTCCGACCTTGGCCTGCCCAAATCCAAAATTCCGATGGCTTTCAACTCGAACTACAAAATCGCTTTCAGTGCCTTGAAGAATGCGAATCAACGGACGAGATGCACAATGGGTTGGTGGAAGCTGTCCACACAGTGGGTTCTAAGTTCTTTAAGGCCCCGCGCCCGAAGAAACCTCAAAAGCTCTCCCCACAGACCATTCAATTAATGAAAGATCGAACTGAGATGAGACTGCAATCTTCAGTTGATATGTCTGAGTATGGCAAACTCAATAGACGAATCTCAAAATCCATGCGACACGATTGCGGTCCTATAATACACAGCGTATTAAAGCCGCAATCGAGCGGAAACAGGGCTCTAAAGTGTTTGCAAGGCATTTGTGTATTGGGCAAAGCCTAATGACAAAGCTGAAGATCGACGACGGCAGTGTCATCTCATCGAAACCGGACATTTTGAGGTAGCTTGAAAGGTTTTACGGATAGCTGTACACCTCGACATGTAAACCCATTGTCAGAACAGCTCGGGACACCAGAGCTAGGTTGACCCGACACTACACTGAGGATATCCCAGACATCAGCCTGTACGAGATTATAATGCCGATAAATAATAAAGATTATAAGGCCCTGAAACAGCTTAAGAACAATAAGGCACCGGGTGATGACGGAATTACGACTGAACTTCTGAGAGCGGGTGGAAAACCGGTACTACAAGTCCTCGAGAAGTTGTTCAATTCCGTCATACTTCAAGGCACCACGCCAGAAGCATGGCATAGGAGTGTGGTGGTGCTTTTCTTCAAAAAGGGAGATAAGACCCTGTTGAAGAATTATAGACCCATCTCGCTCCTGAGCCATGTATATAAGCTGTTTTCTAGAGTCATTACGAATCGTCTTGAACGCAGGTTTGATGACTTCCAGCCTCCCGAACAAGCCGGGTTCCGGAAAGGCTTTAGCACCATAGACCACATCCATACGCTCCGCCAGATTATACAGAAGAGCTAGGAGTATAATCGGCCATTGTGCTTAGCGTTTGTGGACTATTAAAAAGCCTTCGATTCAATCGAGACCTGGGCGGTATTGCAGTCCCTCCAGCGATGTCATATCGACTATAGGTATATCGAAGTTCTGAAGTGTTTGTATAGAAACGCCACTATGTCTACAGAATGAAAGCACGAAAGCAATCCAATTGCAGAGATGTTTGAGACAGGGAGACGTCATTTCTACGAAACTGTTCACGACTGCATTGGAGGATGCTTTTAAGCTCTTGAACTGGGACGGATTCGGCACCAATATCAACGGCGAATACATCACTCACCTTCGTTTTGCCGACGATATAGTCATAATGGCAGAGTCGCTGGAGGACCTTAACACTATGCTCAGGGACCTTAGTAACGTTTCCCAACAGGTGGGTCTTAAAATGAACATGGGCAAGACGAAAATCATGTCAAATGCCCATGTCGAACCCATACCAGTTATTGTTGGGAACGATACACTCGAAGTTGTCGACCACTATGTCTACCTTGGACAAACGGTCCAGTTAGGCAGGTCCAACTTCGACAAAGAGGTCACTCGAAGAATCCAACTCGGATGGGCAGCGTTCGGGAAGCTACGCGATATCTTTTCGTCCAAGATTCTACAGTGCCTAAAGACAAGGGTTTATAACCAGTGTGTGTTGCCAGCGATGACGTATGGCAGTTTCTTTGCGCGACAAAATCCGGAATGAGGAAATTCGCCGAAGAACTGGAGTCACCGACATAGCTATCCGGATCTGCAAGTTGAAGTGGCAGTGGGCAGGCCACATCGCTCGAAGAACTGATAGCCGATGGGGGGTAAAGGTTCTCGAGTGGCGACCACGAACCGGAAGACGTAGCGTTGGAAGGCCTCCCTCTAGGTGGACCGACGACATCATAAGAGTCGCGGGGAGCCGGTGGATGCAAATGGCAAAGTGTCGTTCGTTGTGGCGTTTTAAGGGGGAGGCCTATGTTCAACAGTGGACGTCTTGCGGCTGATGATGATGATGAGCAATGATTGTTTTATGCAACAAGAATAAGGCAGAAGATTGCGTGAAAGTGCGCACAGTGGCGGATTACTAATTAAAAAGGTTAGACGCGTTGTATAGTCCCAATCCGCTAGTCGTAGGTTAGAAGCGTTGCTGGAATTTCTTTGGCCACTTCTTCTCCGAGCGCCAACGCTGTCCGAAGCGGTAGTAATGATAGATCTAGAAATTCTTCCAGTCAGATTATAGTTACCGATCGAATCGAGGTCTGGCCCTCGCGGGCGCCATCGAATCGGAATACTAAACGGGTATTGAGTGACAGCCCAAGCCATGGTCCCCTCTCGGGTGCAGTCACTCCATGGTGCATCTACTAAAGCGCCCTAAGAGCTTGATGACCTCCCAAACCGAAAATGATAATAATAGCGCGAGGGCCCGAGCCGAGGCTCCTGCGGAAGCCCTCGAGCTTAGTCACCATAACGCGTAACCCAGGTTCAGACTAGGGGCCCCGAGTACCCTGCTACCTCAAGTTTGGCGGCCCTATAAAGGCCCCTAGGCCAACAGTGGTATATCATGCCATGAAAAAAAATCGTTAGTGGTGCTGAAACTCAATTGCAAGTATAAATCCGAACGATTCCTCAGACTCTAGGTAATAAATGTGATAATACATGTCTTGATTATACACTTTTGAAGAAAAATAACGAAAAGAAAGACTGAGAGAGAAAAACATTTATCAGAAAAATAAATGAGATGCAGTTGTGTTTAAGATGCCCAATAGATTTCTTTTGAATCTGTTTCCGTTTAACTTTAATTTTAATAGTTTTCAATACCGTTGTTGATAGGAAAGGTGATAAAAGTAGGTAATATGCAAAAGTAATTTGTGAAAATACTGAAACTAACAGCCAATATGGTACCTTTATGTAAATTCAAATTCAAAAATCTTTATTTAATATAGAAGTATAACATTTACTTATGTCAAAAACATTACTACCGGTTCGGAAAAAAAGCCACTGACCTGAGAAGAACCGGTGAGAAAAACTCAGCGGGACATTTATTTTTTAAAACATAATTTGACAAATATAACAAACATATTCAATATATTCAATTCCACTAGAAAAGGCCTGGGGCGATCAATTCATTTCCAGAGTGTGTTATCATTTAAATAATCACAAATGCTATAATAGCCCCTAGCAAACAAACGTTACAAATGTTTTAAATTTAGCAAACAATCTAGGTGAGGGTAGAATTCATTTATGTTTATTCCTAGTACTTGAATGATGTGCATTACTAGATATTCCTTGTCCCTTACTGAACAGATTTGTCTTGCCATGTTATTTACGTACCCTTGAATGGGATGATGTCACCGATTCCGTCTCACTCATGACCCCCAGCGTGACCGGTGTGACGCCTGAAAGAGTAGGTAAACTTATTTGAGCCATATTTGAACAAACGAATATTCTACTATTAATAAGATTGTGTGATGCAGAAAAAGATATGCAAATTTTCTCTGTTACGGATACTGTTAGCCTATTAGAACTGCATGGTGCAGGTATTGTGGTTAAGCCAACGGCCTTAAAATTCCTGTGATCCACAAACAGCTGTTCATTTTTTTTTTATGTTAGAACGTTTCAAGCAAGCTGGCGGTTTCCGCATCTTAAGTGCATTTTAAGTGATAATCGCCGCCCATGGACATTTGCTATATCCGTAAGGTTGCAGATGTTTTGCCATCTTTAATAATGTGGGCCCCGGCTACCTCACTCTCCAGACGAAAGCACTTCTCCGGACGGACCTATCCATTCGTGCAACGGCCGATGCTGTTACGTGGCCATATCACAGTGAAATCCTATCTTAATATCCGTAATTTCATGACACGTGGATTATTGTTATAGCGTTTTTAAAGATTACAAGAAAGAAAATAAATACATTTATTTATTAAATGATACATTTATTCGTACCTTCTTCGAACGATTGTTGATGGTAGCCATAGTCAAATGAAGAAACTGGAAAAACGAATCTGCTTCCAGATTGTATTTCTTCGTGCGACGCGGTGCTAAACAAAAAAGGACCATTATAGAATTTTGAAAACACAAATTACTCATGATAGTAATTACTCGTCTAAAGTCTCAGTTCTAATGTTTTGTCGTAGCAAAGGATACATAATATTTTGTTGTAATTTATGTCAAATTAATGTAGTTATGTTTTTTTTGTGTTACCTGATGTATAAGTGATTACAACCACCCAAGGACATTTGCAAAACCCGTACGGCAGATGCGTTGCAACCTTATTTTAAAGTAGGCCCCGGCTACCTTAGCCTCCAGACGAAACGCAGAACAAAAGTGAACACTTTTACTTCACGACGGCCTTCTGAGAGGTCGTGGTTCTGACCGTGGTACGGATCTACCCATTCGTGCAACAGCGTAAACCTACTTTAGTCACTGTAGCTATGTTGTACATCATTATCATTGTCATCATTTCAGCCTGTTTGAGTCCACTGCCGAACAAGGGCTTCCTCCACATACTGCCACGAAGCTCGATCCTGAGCCACCTGCATCCATCGACTTCCCGAATATTTTCACAGGCCGTCACTTCATCTAGTGGGGGATCGTCCTACACTGCGATGGCCAGTACGAGGCTGCCACTCAAGAATCTTTCTTCCCCAACGGTTATCGATTCAACGAGCTATATGGCCTGCCTATTTATTATATATATACTTACATAAAATGTTATGCCTATATTGTTGCGCGAAAATATGTAAAATATCATCATCATCATTTCAGTGTGTTTTAGTCCACAGCTGGACCTGCCAAACAAACTTCGAAGAAGAATGCTCCTGACCCAATTGCATGCATTGATTTTAGCAACATTTGCACAGGTGGTCACTCCACCCGTTTGGAGTTCGTCTCCAATTGATACAAGTACGAGGAATACGATAGTAATGAATACGAGGATATAATATTTCACCTCATCGAGTGCTGGAAACTGGACAGGTGCGAGTTCCTGGAACTGTCCCCGGTAGAAGTGCGGAACATAGGGTGCCGGAGCGCACGAGCTAAATAATAAAGTAAAAAAATTAAATAAAAAATATTTCAAGTTATCAGTATGTACATATTCAAGAAAATAAATACGGTAATCAAAATTATTGTTTAAATTTAATAATCATGTACATAGAAGAAAATAGGCTTTCCAAAATAAAACAAATGTTTTCTAGTGTAAATGTTACACCGATTCAAACAAAAAGAAATAAGTAGATAAAAAATCTTTTTAATAAGTGAGTGATTGCTATGTTGTGATTTCATTTGATTTATTAATCACTTAGTATTAAACTTTGTATAAAAAGGAAGAAAACGTTTTCGCGCAGCGGGAATCGAACCCACGTCTTCCGGATTCACGCTCAGATGCTTAAACCACTAAGCTAAACACCTGATTGCCACACCGACGAGATCGAGAATCTTAACGTCGTTTATCTACCTTGATTTTTTCGCATTTTATCAATAGTCAGTTTTTTTTTTTTAATTTTACTATTTCAACTTCAGTGCAGAGATAAACACTATATAAATTAAAAAATAGATATAGAAATGGCGATACTCTCGTGTGAATTATCGTGTAAGACGATATATGAAATTGTTCGTATGATTTGTAAAGGATATTTGTTTTTTTCTTTTTATGCGAAAAGTTGCCAAGCGAGCAGACGGTTCACCTGATGTTAAGTGAATACCGCCGCCCATGGACATCTGCTACACCCCAGGGTTCCAGATGCGTTGACAACCTTTTGAAAATTGGGCTCCTGCCACCTCACTCACCAGATGAAACGTGAAAGTATTATACTTCCACTTTACGCCGGTCTTCTGTGAGGTCGTGGTACTTACCCAGACGAGCCTGCCCATTCATGCAACTGCCGAGAATGCTGCGTGGCCCTACCACCGTAACATAGATAGATGTAACAACAGATACCCAAAGCATTGCGCGATGGGATTAAAAAAACTATGTAGATAAAAGACGTGAAGATTTTCGTCGTTTCGTTTCTCGCAGCGGTGGAAAACCTTTCGTTCTTTTTTGTACAAATTTCAATCTTTCATCTTAAGTGCGGAGATTAACGCTACAAAAAATTCTCTTATTGGTCAGATTTTATAATAAAACTTGGAAGTATTATTAATTGGAAGAGGCATTAAAGAGCATTTTCATACCATCTGTGGGATCTGTTGCCGTGGAGGTTTGCGACAATTCGTAGTCGATGGACGTGGTCGGACTGCGCCGCGACATGACCGCAACTCTCTCCCTGGCCTCTTTCTCGATAGCCGAGTCCTCGGAATTCCGCCGGGACTAATATCAAAAACATAGTGTCAACAGTTTTGCAAACGCTACATGGTTTTCATTTACTATTTATCCATATGTATTATTTATTCCTCGAAGGTGTTCTTTGTCGGTACGCTATAACTTGCCTAATTTAGTGATATAAACACCGTTCTAACGCGTATGTTTTTCAAGAAACAATCCAAGGGCATTGGGGGCCGCTATTGACGAAAAATTGACAAATTGAATAAAGTTAATGTTTTCATAAAAAATACTTCATTTAAAAATGTCTTATAAAGAACGTATGATAATGCCATCTATTGACAACTTTCTAAATGAAAAATAGCGTCTTCTGAAAAACGCTGTGCCATAAAATAAGATATCTAACTTACATAGTAATATATTACTATTCGGTTACTAATCACTGTAGTGTGTGAATACTTCGCTGAATAAGCTAAGAATAGGAATAAACAAGGATGTATATAAATTATTAATTTTCTAAAAGACCTATCAATAATTGTTTACACTATACAGCGTGTCTTTACAATCGCGACACTAAATTAACTCACATATAGAGGACATCTTTTTAAAATTGTGTTAAATATTTACATTCTTTAAACAACAATATTTATATAGTTATTAAATTTTCCAAAACAAAGAATTTTAGAACACCCTTACGTATAAAACTGTAACGTAAAGTTCATTTGTAAAGGTCACAAAGCATATGAATGGGTTGAATGAATTTAAAAGAGACAAAACATACTGTTAGAAGGAGAGGCTTGTAATGCGACGCTGTGGCAACGAATGAAAACGTTTCTGAATGTATGAATCGGTCAGTTGTAGTTGTATAGGTGTTAGAAACTTTGTTTTTTTTATATAATTAGTTTGTTTGAAAAATATTTTTTATGTGTGGATTTTTTTAACGTTAAATTTTTTTAATGAATATTAGCAAGTAGCGTTAGTCGTGTGTTCATTTATTGTCTCGCGTGTCGTTACCATACACGCTGTATAGTAACAGTAAAAAAGAAACAATAGACACATCTTGTGTTAGTGAAAAAGTTACTTAATGATAAGCAAAGCCAGTACAATTAAACATCATGACAATAATACAAATTAAAAGAATAAACGACCATAACTTAACATAATAAAAATATTATAACTTCACTTAATAAGAAAATGGAATTTAATAAGATTGGTCAGCGTCGTTGATTAGAGCCGCGGTAGCACTGCTGTATCTAACAGTATTGCTAATGTTGGTTGATTTACGGGAACTCGTTGGTTTAATAAAAATAATCAGGTCCACATTCGGGGACATATTGGATCAAGAGGATTTAAGCCAAATGAATATATAATACACACCTCTCTTCCATCACCGAAGCTGTACGAATCGTAATCATCTATCGACATGTCGAATGCACTATTTATGGCGAACCAAAGCCCAAGTTCAAAGGTCAATTTGGCTTCTTTCACTTTAAGGTCCCAGGTTTGCATTACGCTTAGCTGCAAATAGACGACAAACATTTCGTACGTATAAAGTAAGAAATAGTTTAGCGATAAAAGGACGTTTCATCTAACCTTGTTTGACGTTTGGCTTTTGTCCTCTTTCGATGACTCAGACAGCGTGAAGGAATGGTACGAAGAGCTGACTTCGTCGACGGCAACGAAGATCAATCCTATTAACTCGTCGTTGCGACCGTATTTGGGGAAGGCGTTGATCTTGTTTATCATATATTTGGGCCTATAAATATTATCAATCCAAGTCAAGTAATGCATGAACAATATACTAGGAATCGCGCAGCTAATTATTTCGTAAGTAACTGCCAATTGATTTGCGACTTTACCTAATCATCTTGTACGGTAAATTACTGCCCTTGGATTGTTTCTTGCAAATGAGCATCATATCAGTAAAGAGAAATACTCGGACTTCGGTCTGAAAAGGAATATATAAAGAAAAAATAAACATTCGCAAATTATAAATGAAAATCGCAATTGTAAATTGACAAAAGCTGTAAATGCGGATTCAGTTTCACAAAATTCAAACCAATACAAAATTTAAAAGCCAAAAAAATATTTTGTAGATTCTGACGACGATAATATTAAAAATGATGATTAACAGTTGAAATGAAATATACTCGTAATCGAAATGGAATTCGCGATTCTGATAAATAAATCAAAATTTAAAAAATCGCTAGCAAAGTGTTTAAAGTAACATTTTTTCTTGCCTCCTTTGTATTATCCTTAAAACGCAGGTCACCCTCATAAATAAGGCTTCGGCTATGTCTTGGCAAGCAATAATACATAGGAAAGTCAAGATTAATTTTTGCGAACAACTGGAAGCACCTGTCCATATCATCGTCTTTAAAATCCTGTAAAAAATAAAGATATATATTATATCGTTGTTCCAATTTATTAAGTTGTCACGGATTTAGCATAATTGATTAAAATATACACTTTGACGTTAGGTATAATATTTGATAAACTAAACAAATAGATTTGTAATGGCATTGAAGTTGATTATTTTAGTTACTGCTACATCCATCACTTAATTGCTTCATTATCAGAGACGAAAAGTCAGGTATAGGGCACCATCTCGCAAACAGGAATCGACGAGTGGAGAACTAGTGGCTGGAGAGCGCCAGAATGCAATTCTGGGATATATTGAGACATTATCTCAGGTTTACGCTAATATTTCTTTAAAATATTTATAGCATGCTAGCATTATCCGGAATGCATTGTATAATGTTGCGTAAAAATATTGTCTAAATTGCAAATTAAGCATAGAGGTCAAATATGGTTGAGGATCTCATAGAAAACAAGTAAGACAATAATGCCGATATATAATACGAGTATATTGACGTCAATGGAAAGCGTAAAGTGTACTTACAACGTCAAATGTTTCGATCGACTTGGCCAATTCATCCACTTTCTCAATTTCCTGGCGTCGACGAATACGGCGATTGATGTCTGTCAAAAACGTTTTGGCACTTGTTTCCTGTATATTTTTGTAAATATGTATATATACTACGAACAAACCTAAATTAATCCTACCCACAACTAGACTGCGAAGAATAAGTAAACCTTCCATAGAATGTATACGTTTCTACCATAAAATCACAGAAAATGTTCAATATGTAGTATCAATTGCTAAATAAAAAAAAAATGTAAATGACCGTTTGTGTGTTAAAGGCTATTATAATATTAATGATTATTTAAATGATAACATACTCTGGTAACGAATTGATCGCTCCATGCTCTTTTAATCAGACTTTTTATATTGTATTTAATATACTCATGTCACACAATGCAAAACATGTTCACACTGTCAAATAGTAAAAAAAAATTTGGCCCGCTGCTTTTCTTTCGGCGGTTCTTCTCATGTCAGTGGTTTTTATTTTCCGAACCGTTAGTAGTATTTTGAAAATTAATGAGTGTAATGTTAATAATAATTCAATATTCAACATAGGAATATTGAATACATGTTTGAAATTATGATATATAGTTGAAGATATATTTTAATTTGAATGTATAAAAATTGTATATATACGTAGCATCTTCCGTGATTTTGCAAATGAAAGGGTCCGTCCAAGTAGCACGGCATCACAAAAGGCCAGCCTAAGAAACAAGTTTTCATAGATTGGCGTTTCCTTCCATTTCATACGTAGGTTTTGCTACCGTTCAGATATCCAACGGAAGGCTGTTATCGCTTAACATCGGGTAAATCATCTTCGTATATTTTCTATCGTATATTTTAAACTTAAAAAATCAAGCATGTAAGTAAATGTATTTATGCGTATTATTTAATTTTAAATAGTTTTTCCAATTTATAAAATATTTCGAAATTGTCAAAAAATAATTAGCTGGTGCCTGCGATGGAAACAGCACTAAGTGACATAATAAGTTTTTTAGAAAATATCTATAAATATTAATACTTTCTAATCTCTTAGTCGCGGGGAATGTTATAACTAACTAAAAATATTGATGATGTTAGGTACCATTTCAGTGAGCATTGCGCTCTCCGTTTCATTTTCAGTAAGATCAATGAGTCTCCGTAGAATCAACGGATACTTGGTCACACGCTGCATCGGTTTAATCATTATGTCGGATAGCTGGAGTCTGTAACAACAGTTATTGGTAACGGCAAAATGTTTGGTCGAGATAAATTCATTCATTTTTTATCTTTAATAAGTGAGAATAATTATCCATTATTAAATATATCGAAAATTAGAAATATTTTAAAAAAATATCATCAGAAGATGGATCGAATTTTTTGATATTTGTTAAATTGATAAAATTGTTTGATCAAATTTAAATGTATAATAGAACATTAGGTATCAGCTCAACAAATGGCTTTATTCAAACTTAATTTTATAGAGTAAGAGCCTGCTACGGTCAGACTCGTCATTTTATAAAAAAAACATAGACAGTCCCATGGGCACTGTCAATAGAATTGACAACATAAAACAATATCAAAATTAAAATTGTATAATTTTTAATTGTACATATTTTATAGCCACTGAACGATAATAACAGTATTTAAATCATATCCATAACTACAAATTTTTGCGTATTCCGAGTTGTACGCTTTTTGTTCACCCAAAAAGTGCTCTACGCGCCTAAAGAAGTTTTCACTTCAGAAATTCTGTGTATACATCTGCAATATTTGTGTAGAACCATTACCCACTACGAAGTTTGGATGATGATGACATTTATAGGTAACAGGCAGGAAAAGTGTACATAATTGCATCCAAATTCTTTAAAGTAGTGTAAAATAAGTAGTAACGCAAATAGTAACACCCTATACATGTCCCACTGCTGGGCAAAGGCCTCCTCTATACAGAGGGTATCAGGACATAGTCCACCACGTGCCCCACTGCGGATTGGCGGACTTCACATATTTTCGAAATATATACATTTTTTTTGTTATTATTTCGAAAATATGCAGGTTTCCTCACGATGTTTTCCTTCACCGCGGAGCACGTGATAAGTCAGCACTTAAAGTTAAAAAATTCATTGGTGCCGGCACCGGGGATCGAACTCAGGTTGCTCGAGTATATTGAATTAAAGGCGAGCGCCCGGTCACTGAGCTATCACGGCTCGTGATAGCTCAGTGTCCGGGCGCAAAGTAGTGTATCTCAGTTTTTCATACTTTAATCGGAATAACATTAGAAATCACGTCGTCCATTGTCAAACAATTAGTACGGTTGCAACTATCTCCCTCTTAGACACCCTTAGACTATATATAATGTTCTATTATAAAAGATAATCTTTACATATGTTACTTGGGAACCTATCAAAAGCTGCTTCATTAGTATTCCTTATATTGTGTCTTAACTATATTTTATACTAAAGATATGTTTTAGTGCACCGATTGAAAGTGTTCCTGGACGTATTAAGTTATAAAAAGAACAGTGAAATTAACAAAATAAAGAAATTACATAAAATGCACACAAACCGAGTGTGGCAAAATATTTTGCTCCTTATGCATAAATATCAATACCATTACATTAGAATGAAAAAAATCCTGGAAATACCCGAACTGTTGCGCATGCAGCAAAAAAGGAGGTGACAATAGCTCTCCTCCCGCTCGTCCTTCTAACGAGTTGACTAATGTCACTACCAGAAAAAAATCTGAGTTAACGCTAGACTCTGCACGCACTGAGAACTTATTGCAGAGGTCCGCCTGTTGACGACGGAAATTTCGTGTCTTAAACAATAGTTCGAAGAAGCTAATATGTCGCTAACACGCTACCAAGTCGCCTAGAAGAGTTGGGAACTGCTACAGCCTCAAATGGCAAGAGGATACAATATTTAGAAAACCGCATTCAAGAAATACTTTCGCTGCAAGCAACTGTTTAGCACCTCCAAAACGAGTTAAAAGTACAGGAGCAAAACTACCTGCGTAATGATATCGAGTTGTCCGGTATACCAGAAAAACAAAATGATAAACCTTCACCATATAGTACTTTTGGCTGCCCGTAAAATTGGGGTTGACCTGGATGACACCGATCTTGATTGGGTTTCTAGAGACGGACCGCGAAATAGGACGTCTATTTCAGGTGTAGCCAACAGCAAATTGCCACGTCCAATAGTTGCTCGTTTGATACGTCGTTCCAAACGCGATCAAATCCTGCTGTCAGCAAAATCACGAAGAATTATAACCAGCAACGACCTTGAAATTGCTGGAGAACCACATAAAGTTTATTACAATGAAAGGTTGACCAAAGAGAATAGTTTGTTATGTCGTGATACACGCAACTATGCTAAGCAGTATGGATATGCATATTGGTGTAATCGAGGGTCTATATATTTACGCCAAAAAGAAGGAAAAGCTGTAATTCATATTCGATCCCGTGGAGGTATCAATAAAATTTTCGGTTCATAATTACAATATATACAAAATTCAACAATTACAGACCTATCTCTCTATTAGGAGGTTTCTCTAAGGTGCTTGAAAATATAGTTAATAAACGATTAGTACACTACAGCGAGTCAAATGATTTGATCTCATCGAATCAATTTGGGTTTAGGCGTGACAGGTCAACGGATGAGGCGGTCACACTTGTAACATCTAATATCTCTTCTAAACTAGATTCGGGTAATGCCTGTATATGAGATTTTTTAGACCTATCCAAGGCTTTCGATACAGTTTCCCTTCCCATACTTTTAAGAAAACTGGAACAGTTTGGTATAAGTTTTCGAAATGTCTCAACAGCAATCTAGTTCTAATTTTCATCTTCAGAATCCTGAACTTACAATCTACAACAAACAAAGTTATAAAAAAAATCATGATCGAAAATGCTCCCAATTCATGAAGCTGAATAAAACGAATGAATTTTAATAATACAGAATACACACATAATACTGAGGAAATAAAATATGCTTAGCAAAAGATTATAATAGATCCCAGAACTATCGAAACTTTCTAACTCCAGAGGAAACATCTTTTGATACTTCCCCAAGTAACAAATACAACATTCAGCTTTTATACTATAACATAACTATAATTTCAATTTATTATAGTGTGCATATACCCGCACGGAAGGGGATTGCAATCGTACCAATTGTGTGACAATGAACGACATAATTTCTAATATTAATCCTAATAAAATATATAAAAACTGAGTTTTATGATTTGCCACCATGATTATACATTGAATCTTTCCGCCTTTCTAAATGAACGAAGGTCTGATTGCCGCAGGTTATTGGGCTTATTTAAATTGTTGGTACACAACTTGTGGAGAACTGACCTGTTACACTCTTTTTGTTTCTGGCACCATGCAAGGTATAACCCGAAGTTTGAATTTCCAGTCAGCGAACGCAAGTAATCTACGGCTTTCGATTGACCCACAACGTATTTCACATATGGGTGCAAAAGATCGTTTATAGAGCAGAATCCCATAGCCATAAGCTCCGGGTTAAGCCTGAAATAAAGGCATGTTTAAAGATAATTAAAAAAATGAGTGTGCTTTAGACTACACAACTGCAGTAAAACTTAAGATTTTTAGAATCTAACACCCAGTTTCCGAAAGCGCAATCAATTTTAATTTACGATAAATCTCTTGTCAATCGCTGTTTAACATGATCTGAGTTGCTAGAATGTCTTAAACAACATTGATTTTGATTTGCAATTAGTCACTGATTAACGGACAATCAACAGAAAATCGAGTTTCTGAAAACGTTTTTCGGTGGTCAAAGAGCTGTCAAAAGTTTTATTAAGTAATCTGTCAATTTGGACGATCAATCGTTGGTTTAACATGTTATTTATCAAAAATCTTAGTTTTTATTAAAAATAAACATAATTCCCTAATACGTTGTTAGGACATTCATGTGTTCTATTACCTATTTATTATTATGCGAACATATCATGTGATTAGAAAAAATACAAAATGCAATTCAAAAGTTAATAAATAATATGGATTTTTTCTTTTTATAATACTTACTTGTTTATTATTGATAAAAGTTCATTTTTTTCACGTTCTGTAAAGTTTTTTTTTTGACATTTTGCATGTATTTATATAAATTAAATTTTATTATAGCTCGGATTTTTACGTTGGCAATCACACGGTGACAGGACTGGATAGTGACGTTAATTTAAGTTTTGTTTAAAAAGGGACAGCTATACAATAGAAAGAGTTAGTTGAAGTAAATCATTTATTTCATTCATTATCATTGGTTATACAGTGATTAGCTAATTTTTCTTGAACAAACCTTCCAGAAACCCAAGGGAGTTTAACAAGAGATTAACAGCTGATCATTTTTGACATAATGTTATGTGATTGCTGCTTTGATTGGCCTTTCGGAAACTGGGCATAAGTCACTTCTGCCATGATTTGTTATTATTAACCCGAAAATTCACAAAATAGGAATTTTAAAATTAACTTAGAATATCATTAACTTTCAGCGTAGTAGAATATTTAATGTATTGAACAAAATATTAATTTATAAAATTGTTCAAGAACGAAATACAATTACGAAATACTCAAGAAATGACCTAACATTCAGCTTTATTTTATTATACGTAAGAACGCTCTCATCACGCATTCACCAGCTTAATCCCCAAGTCAAGAGAGCGTAGAGAAGTTTTACTTCAAAAATTATAGTGTCCTAATGTATATTTTTGTCAATATTTTCAAAATCAATTCAAATTTGCTTTACTATAATTATATTCACAACCAAGAGCTAAGACGTTACGCACTGCAATAAATAGCGTGATTAAATATGCGTCCGTATAGAGCTATGCTGTGGACCTATGAAAGATAAAAAAGTACTCACGGAGTACTGTGCTCAAAAGCATCGGCCAGCAATGGATAGAATACATGCTCCCAGAAATAGAGGGTGGAATTAAGAACATCTGGTAGATTTGAAAAGAGGCGTTCAGTATCGACATCGAGCATAAAACCGCTATCCTGAAGAGAATGGGCGGTGGCCATGAATAGCTGAAACAAATAGTTCGGTTAAATTTACCCAAAATTTTGTTTGGGATCCTAGTTTTAAAAATACAGCGAATGTTCATCAAATGGTGGAGTCGATACTGCAACCAAAAAAAAAAATAACAACAAGGAAAAACGACTAATGATTTAATGAACAAGCATAATTCGATGGTCACCTATAGTTTCCAATTTCTGATATTATAGGCCAAACTTTCAACATTAAAATCATAACAAAAACAATTCAATAATACAACAACAATAGTATTGACTCAAGAAACATAATTATACTAAACATTGAAATGCTACACATAATCAGTTAATTTTAATATCGATTAAGTGTTAAAATTTTATATCGATTATAAAATTTTACACTTGTAATAAATTAGGTTCAAGATATTTTATGATAAATTTATGAGTAAACAACAATTATTTTTCTGCTCGAACTATGGCTGACCACCAAATTCTGTTTATTGATTAATTCATTAGTGATTTCTCTCTATAGAATTAAATTATTTCCAACTAAAATATCAACTCCACCATTTACTGAAAATTTACTCTTATAATTAACTTCACAATAAGTCTCGCCGTCTGGAGTTCATAATGCCCGGATATGTCGAATATTAGTGCCGGGCGATTGCGGCTACACCATGTGCTAATGTAAAAATAATTATTTTAAACTCACCTCGACAAGGGTTAATAGGTGCCTGATGTAGTCTGCTTCTGTGGTCAGCAACTCCCTGATGGTGGCCTGGCGCACTTCTTCTTTGGGACTCAGTTTGTCTAGAAGTAGTCAATGATACGATATACAAATACGAGGTGGATACGAACTAGAGCACCGAAACTGAGCCGCTCAAATTACACCAATTGGTGTAGTAAGATTGCAATTCTATTGACTGCTATCTCTTTCCATATCATACGTTCTACACCATCTGTTTAACATTCTCTTACATATGTCATGTAATGTAAAGCGGAACAGTTTTTAAACGCTGCGCAGTTTGGACATGCGTCATTTATATTATTAAACAGTATTGACAAGTATTAGTTAATTTAGTACAAGAATACTATTGATGGATATGTATACAAGTTATTCTCTCAAAGCTCAAAATTAATTGATAATAGACTGGGGTGGAGTTCTGGACTCGAAAAAAAGGGTAACTTAAAAAGAAAAGGAAAAATAAAAATCTGTATACCGATGGATACATTCATCGTTTGTTATTGTAAGTCACTTCCTGTGAAGATTCTTTTGTTCATCGATAATTAAATAAGTTTTCAGAATTGATCGATTAAACCGACATGGTATTAAGGTTTCTCTAATTCTGTAGGTCTATGTTTTCATATTATTACTAAGCCACTTGTGATATCATAACATGTCGTAAAGAGTACGTCACAATCGAACACGATTGACAGGAAAATGTTATTATTTATGCAGATAATTTTTTCTACAGTATGGTTAAAGTATATGTATATTGTTGGAGTTATTTAATTTGAGCATATAACTTTTAATAGGATGTCAAATTTAGCAAGCACTTTAACCTATTAATGGCTTTCCGAAAACATTTTACGGAACTCAAAATATTTTTACTGGATGATGGATATTTTAACATTTTTTATTAATACCAGTGTTATAAAAAATACCAGGTATAACTGATTACTAGTATAATTAGTATAGTATGACGAAGTAGAATTAGTATGATGTTGTTATTTTATTGCTAGAACGCCATAACTGCCATAAATGTACAACAATCTTAATGATTGAAACACTATTTTAAAGTTTATTTTTAAATCTATACATTAAACTAGAATAATTTTGTAGGATAATTGTTTTTTTATAAAAAAGTTTTGTTTAAAAACTTCTTAAATAAAGTATGATGAAAGAAGATGATAATGTCTGTAAGTGAAATTTTGTTTTAATGAAAGATTGCAAAGTAGACGAAGTAGGCTAAATTTTACTGTTATTGTTCAAAACACGATACCTTTGATTGATAAATTATTATTTGCAAATAATTATATTTCGTAAACATTTCGCACGGGTCACTAGTTTTAATTTAAATGTTATAAAATTTCTGATAGAATCCTTTTCATTTTAACAAAACGAACCAGAAAACGTCTAGTTACCTTATAAAGTCTTATTTACGCAACTTCATCATCATCATTATCATCATATCAGCCGTAGGACGTCCACTGCTGAACATAGGCCTCCCCCATTGACTTCCACTTCGACCGGTCGTTAGCGGCCTGCATCCAACGCGTCCCTGCTATCTTAGATAGGCCGTCTGTCCACCTTGTGGGAGGCCTTCCTACGCTGCGCTTGCCGTCACGTGGTCTCCACTCGAGAACCTTTTTGCCCAAACGGCCATAGGTTCTTCGAGCTATGTGCCCTGCCCACTGCCACTTCAGCCTGCTGACTCACTCTGCTATGTCGGTAACTCTATTTCTTCTACGGATCTCTTTATTCCTGATTCGATCTCGTAGAGAAACCCCAAGCATTACCCTTTCAATAGCGCGCTGTGCTACTGCGAGCCTTCCTTATGAGGCCCATAGTGAGAGACTACGTCTCGGCACCGTAGGTCATTGCTGGTAGCACGCACTGGTTAAAGACTTTCGTCTTTAAGGACTGTGGTATTTTGGACGTAAAGACGCTGCGGAATTTCCCGAACGCAGCCCAGCCGAGCTCGATTCGTCGATTGACCTTCTTCTCGAAGTTGGATTTGCCTTGTTTGCCCATTTGTCCCAGATAGACATGCTATCAACAACTTCGAGTGGCGAGCCTCCCAACAATACGGGGGTGGGCGTCACATACAGACATTTGACATGACTTTGGTCTTTTCCATGTTCATTTTCAGGCCCACCCGCTGGGAGACTCTATTGAGGTCTTCGAGCATTGTGCTGAGCTCCTCCAAAGACTTAATTACTTAACTACGCAACTTAATTAATTAATAAACTCTTTTATTCTTAATAGTCTCAGTATTTTTGGCCTTTTCCGCAGATTTTCCTTTGGATGTTTTTTGGTACTTTTGCTATTAATGAAAGTGCACCTTGTTTTTCGCGCCAAAATAATAAACAACCTTCCGTTGACGGAACTATCACTACTAACATTAATTATATAAGACGTGCTCATTTTGTGAATTAAACAGTTGTTTTGAATATATATATACGGAATTTAATAATTATACGATTGACAAAACTCGCCAACACACGGGTCACGGGAAAGGCATAAGATTGTTTTAATATTAGGAACTTGTTTACAGAGCGTATGTTTAAGAATGATGAAGATGAGTTCCGCGTGGGCGGGTGTTAGTACAGAGGGAGTGAGAGAAAGATATTCAATGAGCGGTCTTCTGCCAACCTTACCGTTCGTAAGGTATTCGTGGTTAATAAAGATTGAGGTCGGCCTTTATTATTCGTTTGTAAAGTCAGCCTGTCAAGCCTGTAAAAGCTCTTCCGGTTTCGGTTTGACTCGCGGACTTGATTGGATTGCTACCGCAGCCCTTTCTCAAGTCAGAAACAGTTTTCATATCACATTCTGTTTCTATTTTTCGTTTGACAAATTAAAAGGTACCTTCTGCAAAAAAGTTTAAATGGTTTACGGTGGTAGGGCCACGCAGCAGCCTCGGCTGTTGCACAAATGGGAAGGCTCATCCCGGTAAGTACCACGACCTCACAGAAGACTGGCGTAAAGTGAAAGTATAATACTTTCGGATTTCGTCTGGGGAGTGAGGTGGCCGGAGCCCAATTTCCAAAAGGTTGTCAACACATCTGGAACCCTTGAGTGTAGCAGATCCGTCTGCTCGTATGAATAAAAAAATAAATTTTGAATAATACAAAAAAATATGAAAATGTTACGGCAGCTATAATGGGGCTTAATGCAAACTGTATTTCCTAATAAACGATAGCCGCTATTAATTATTTATCCGCTATTTATTAACTTAACTAATATGGCATATGTGCCATATGGATCATAGAGGCCCTCTCAGGTACTATTAACACTTTATCTCTAAACTCGTTTTCGAGTGGTAAAGTCTGAGTGTAAAAGTAAGCAACCTATAAAAGGTTTAATTCAGTGTCACTTATTCTATGTCCATTCTTTATCGTAGGCTCGTCTCATGCGTTCTTACAGTAGTAGTTAGTAGATGTCTTACATTAATGTTAATTAGTCAGTAGAAGTACCTACATAATCTTGGTTACACAACACAGTAACAAAGACCATGAAGGTTACAAGTTTGTTTGTTGGACACGATAAGTTACAGCGACCATTCAAACCTTAAAGCTGCAACTAACAGTTTCCTAAATATACTAACCAAAGATCGTCACAACAAAAAAGTTATGAAAGACAATCTTTATTTCTAATAAGTACTTGTAGAAAATTTATAAAATGAAATAAGGTTTCTCGATCGTTCGAACTATAGACTAATACAAAATTTTATTCTATACGAATGGCCTTTAAATCTGAACAAGAAAGTTAAAGAACAGGAACAAAGCAAGCTGAAAGAAAGGATACTCAAGACAAATTGCTACGAACCACTCGAATTATGCTTGAACAATTCAAACGAAGACTGAAGTATGTTTCATTTAAGAAGGTTATCGGAAAATTGTTACAATATTTTTCCCGTTGATATAATTAAATATTTGTATTTAAAAGTTATTTGGCATATTATTAACTTATTTATTTGTTATTAATGCACAAAGGCGGTCTTAATGCCATAAAAATTAATATCCAGTCTTTCTTCAGGTGGTTCAGAGAATATTTCCATAATTTCTGAATTCCATAATTTCTCTTCTCCAAACAGCTTTTTATTTAAAATGTGTTCCTATTTGTAGGTCTTTAAACCCACGGTTATCGCTTAACATCATGTGTGAACCGTCTGCTCTCTCGCTTGATAACTATTCACACAAAATATGCTCTCTTTTGGAATGCCAAAATGAAAAAAAAAAATCCATTAATGTTTACGGACGAAAGTTGATACTCTTACGGAATACATTAATAATAGAATAAATAATTCGGAACTTAAGTGTTTGTTATTCGGAAGAAATTTAATATTAGTGTTGTTTTACAGAACGAAATTCGCATGAATCCACTTTATTGGACGGAATCTTTATAACGTTTCATTATTATATTAAACAGTGATTCCTTTTAATATATATGTGCTACAACATTTTAAATACTTACATAATATTAGTTTATTGTTTTTATCACTGAATAAGTCGTTCTTGCTATAAAGTATTTCATTAAGTTTATTTTAAATTATCTCAATTCTTTGAGCAAGTAGGTACATTATTTTTAATTGACGGACAAATTTTCAATTTGTGTTATTTTTACGAGTTAAAGCGTGAACAAAGGTCGGATAGGTAAATGGTATTTTAGTGGCATGTTTGGACTCGTTTTATCTGAATGGTACTTCAATTTAGTTTTGTTTGCTCCTCTGTTATTCTCTTAAAAGCTCTTGCATACGTAATGTAGTATTATAATACCATAAAAAGTTTATTTAGCCACGAAGTCTAATAATGTTATACACACAATAATGTTACTGACTTTAAATTGTAAGATTCTCCCATTACTATAATAAAGTTCTGAATTATTTTTTTTTTGCTTATATATTTAATTATTGCATTTACTTACTTATACATGTAATGAGATTTAGAACATTTTACATACAAATAACTCCTAAGAATAAATCGTAATGGGGTAAGAGGCAACATAAAAATGTGGTAGGGCCACGCAACATTCTTCGCTGTTGTGAATGGGCTGGTCCGTCTGCCTAAGTACCACGAACTCACGGTCTTGTATCTTGTATCTTGTATTAACTGATGTTTTTGCTTTCAGTCCCGAGACTATTAAAGCTTCATCGGACGCAGAACCGGTGGGCTAGCCAGAACCCACGGGTTTGGACCCTCCGCTATGGGTAGGTCGCGCATGTGCTCATGCGTGCGTATAACTACTATGGTGTGTCATCTAAGGGCCGTCGAGGTCGCCGGTTCGGACCGAGACCCCGATGGCCGTCGACTGTGCATTTAGCTAATCGGTGGCTGGGAGCGGTGAGAACCGCCCCGGAACGCGGGTGTACCTTGTGTACGCGTTGTGTGGGTCTCGCCGTGCTCGGAGGCGAGGGCGAACTGGTGTGATTGTTGTTACACTAACTGTGGGTGTAGTGTTATCCGGCGGGACCCCCGGCGGTGGGTCCATCGTATCTAAGTCCTCTTCGTCGACCGGGTCGATGAGGACGTTTTGCGGGCGACGCTTGTTTACGTTCGCGTTAGTGTCTCCGGTTGGTAGTTTGCTGCGCTTACCACCAGAGGGTTGGGATGATGTTGGGCTCTATCAAAGAACAGTTTTGTCAAATCTTTAAAATGTGCGCGAATCGTCGGGAGTCTGCAATCGCTGTGCAGGTCGACGTTGCGCTGATACCATTGCGCACCGGTTGCGCGGCGGATAAACTTACTTTGAACTACTTGCAATTTGTTAATGCGCGTAGGATTTATATGTGCGAAGATCATGCAAGCGTAGGACATGATTGGCCTTACGCAAGCTTTATATAAGAGTAATTTGTGCCTTAAGGGCATTTTACTTTGCTTATTCGTTAAATTGTGTAGCCGGCCGGAGACGAACGCGGCTTTATTTCGGACTTGATTGATGTGCGTAGTGAAAGTCATACGCGAGTCGAAGGTGACTCCTAAATATTTGACCGTTTTCTCCCAGGGGAGAGTTTGGCCATATAGTGATATTTACATATAGGCGGCCGCTATTTTAGCGGACAATACGGCGAGTTCCTGCCTATTGATTCTATCAAGTAAGCTGCAAATATTAGCGATTTGCGCGAATGGGTCGTCCTTGTTTTCCGCGAAAACTGACGGAGTTGGCTGCACCTGCGGCCGCGGCGCCGTTTGAGAGGCGGGCAGCTGTTGTGCGATCAGTCGTGAGGCGACCGGGATAACCGGCGCGGTTACCTGCGCGGCCACCTGGGGTTTCGCCCAGGCGTTTGTGACGGGTACGGGGGCGGGAGTATATTTAACGAGCGCGGGTTTGGGCAACGTAGACTTCGCGGGAGAACTCACATTAGACCCGCGTGAAGTGGAAGCGTTATATATACTTCGACATTTAGTCTGGTTTTAGTAGTAGTAGTTTCAGTAGTACTTCAACATTTAGTTACATTTAGTCCGGCTGGACATTTAGCCTGGTTGGGTGAGGTAGCCAGGGTTTTATTACAACATAACGGGTGTTGCAAATGTCCATGGGCGGCGGTTAGGTAATGGTAAGTGCCATCAGGTGAACCGTCAGCTCGCTTGCTACTTTCGCACGAACAAAGAGAGCAACAGATTAATATGAGGAGTCACAATTACGAATACTTACGGGTATTTTCGTAACACTCCCGCAGGTTTTCTTCGCATTCACACAACATGAGGAAAGCCAGCGCCTGATCGGATATGGTGAACTTGGTGAATCCTTTAAGCGGTGGCACCCCATTGTTTGTGAAATCCTCAAGTTTCTTGGTTAGCTCGTAGTTTGCCTAAAATCAAACAGGCACGTCAAGAGGCCGTTACACTTCCTTGGCGTATCCTTCCTTTTATTTGCGGTAAAGGTTAAAAAACATTTTAATTTATATTTCAATCTCATATTGGTTGAAATATTAGCCGTCTCCTACGAAGGAAAGTTTCAAATTACCCTATATCACAATAATTTCTTGTATTTACGCGATTCCACATTACTAAATGAAACTGTGTTTACGGATTTATCGCGTTTATTTTGGTTTTAATACCCAGACAGACAGAGGCTTTGGACGTCCCGTGACCATGAACGCTGTAGGGGGTTCGAAAAGTTGGGTATTAAAACCAAAATAAACGCGATAAATCCGTAAACTTAGTTTAATTTAGTACCCTATATCACATTACGCTCAAATAAAGAAATACTTATTTCTAATTAACCCGCTCCTAACGACCCTTATAACACAATGTTATACCGTAACAGAACAATAAAAAGACAACAAATCTAAATAGTTAATCTTATAATTTTGCTTAATGCAAATAATATAAATCAAAATAAAAAACAAATATGTGTCGAACTACGATATCAAATAAAAAGCTATCACCATTACATAAAGTTTCATCAAAGATTACCTATAAAATAGGCATGCACCATAAATAACGTTGGAAACAAAACGGAAGATAATGGGTCTAATAATTTCACTTACAGATTTCGTCCATCAAGAACTAAGCAATACAAGAAGTAAGGGTGAAGAACTCTACTTATTTATTACGTTACAAATAATGTAACGGAAATATTTAATAATTTAAAACCTGAAACCATAAGTTAACACCGGCTTGGAAGTATAATCACAGTTGAGAATGCGCCGCTCGCAACTTTTTATGTTTGAAAAATTGATGTCATTATGCTTTATTTTACATTAAGAGCAATTTCAGAATGTTTCCGTGCCATTGTTTTCTGCGACTTGAGTATTTGATAGCAGTTATCACACGGTATTTTTTATTAATATAACTGTTTATAGTTCATCAGTGTAAACGACGTTATGTCCAGAGAAGTAAAACTTCGCAAATGCGTTCAGAAGTACACATTATACACGTTTTTTTCTTTGGGCAGTCTTTTTTAGATTTGCTTGCTTCTTAATAATTTATTATTGCTTATGATCAATGATATTATTTTATGCGACACAAACGTTACTAACGGGCCCGAATTTGAGTCGCGAAAACGTCCCAATTGGGACGTATTGACTTAAGTTCGGCGTTTAGGGCTGCAGGTCAAAAATTTTACAATAAAAAAAACGCCGTCTGGTGTATTAAAAAGATTAAGCAAGTACGACTCTAAGGTTTCCAAATTCGTTCTCACTTTGAAAATAAGTATTCAATTATTTTCATATGTATATTAATTTGTGTTGACTGATGCACCTCCGGATATAAATTAACAAGTCAGTTACGAATCATAATCGTAGGCACCAAAGTCATCGTTACTCCACAGTTTGGTTTTCCGGTGTATAAATAAGTATTTTGAATAAAACAATTGAAAAGTTACTCATATAAAACGTATTATTTGAGTACTCATAAAAATTCAAACGTAAAGTGTGCTAATCGAATTCTTTATTAAGTTCTTTTTCTTCATTGAGATTTCTAGCTATTGAGGTTCTACTTAAATAGTGGATTGCAATCGTACCTAACCAAGAAATTAATTTCTTTTAATGTTTTATTGTTTTTTTTTTATCGTGAACTGATTTTTTTCTCTAGCGTAGTATTTTATTTCTTACCCATATGAATAGCATAAAAGGTAGGTTTACACTATTCATTAGTTCCCAAATGTACACTTTACCTTTATATAAAATACCGCACTATCCATAGTTTGGCTTGCACCTTCTGCTTCAAGAACTTGTTGTCTAGAGAGATTGATACTCCGGAGTGAGATTTGTTTACACTTACGCTAAAGTGACAAACACGTGCAGTCCCCTTTATAAACCATTCAATATGTGCGAGAAAGCAATTATGAACGAAACGCGTCAATATGTGCTGTCAATGTGTTTGGTACACTTTTTACCGGTGATTTTGTTAGCACACCCAACATATCAATGTTACAATATATGATTGCTTATGAAACGTTTAACGCGATAGTAAGTAAAACAAATTTTTGCACATTATAAACGAAAACAATTGGTAAATTGTACTTATTCGTAATTTAAGCAAGAAATCGTGTAAGATTTATGTGATATTATTTCAATCAAAATAAATCATTGTTGTATAATTTATTATATTGATGCAAACAATTTCATTTGGCGTTATTAATTTATTAGACTATAGTATGTGTTTTCACGTTAAATAAATAAAAAAAAATATGAAGGCTGCTACCATTGTCAAATTTTTTCTTAACCATCGTAAGCCTTGAATGATAGTTTTATTAACATTATTATTACAAAAAGTTAAATAATATAGATGTTACTTTAACGAGAGGGAGAAGCACATTTTTATTTCTAATTTCAATAACATTTTGTAAAAAATTGAAGAACCTAATTGACTATTAGTTAAGAAGATTATAAGCTAGTTGAAACAAACACTTTAATTACTCTTATCAGATCGAGTTTAAATTAATTATATATTAGAATATATTAGACACATAGATTATTCTTTCTCTATGAACGTAGCATCTGTAAACTGGTACGTTTATCACAAAATTATTTAATTACCAAAAAAAATATCTATCTTAGGTCAACATAGCTTGGGTGTAAGCTTAACATTTTATGTTAAGCTTACAGCGCCGACCTTTCCATTCCATTTGACATTTATCGTTATCTATTAGTCGTATACATATGTACTTTGACATTAAACACTTCATTCAAATATTGATTGAGCTGCGGAACTATTGTTGGTCCCGTAAGTGAAAACCCGAACTAAGGTTTCTTTTAATTGTGATCCTAATTTGAACTGCTTTCTTTTTTATATTAGAGCAAATAATATATTCCTTGCATTATTTATTTCAACTGAAACAAGTTCTAATTTATATGTTGTTATCTCGAACTATTAAATTTTTGTGGCAATCTACAGTAGATGGATGGATTTTGAACAGTAGCGAGAAGTAAGAAGTTTTTATTTCACTGACTCACATTTTATGCATTGTGTATTTTGCCATGCTTACCTTTGATCTTTGTTACGCATGGGAATGACTTATGAGACGTGAGAGCCTCAATCTACCCTGTCCTTATTCAATAGACTTGTAACTTGCTTTATATTTCGTTCTATCAAATAAATATTTTAATCTTGCCGTGTCGTATAATCTCAGTGTATGATGATGTTTATTTGTAATATGATCATTACTTACTTATAATTAATATTAATAAAATTTATTATCAACCTTCTCACCCCAGACAGCCACGAAGCGAGATTCTGAGGCATGGATCCATTTTTTTAATAATTTATTTTATTCATTAAATCATTTCATAAAATCTCGATTCCAAACATTTCCCAAAATCTAACATATTCATATGCGTACCATTTTCTGTGATACATTAAATAGATGCTTTTTGTTTTTGAGTTAATTGTTGCTAAATAAAGATTTTTTTGCGTTTTCTCGTACAAAAAGTAAAAATAAATTAAAAAAAAATGATTACTTTGCATATTAACTTTCAAAAATAATTTCCAATATGAAGTGTTTCTAGTAGATTTCTTATAATTAGTCCAAACCGCAAAAAGATGTGGCGGCCAGTGACTTAATTTAAAAATTTTATTGCCTATTTTATTAAAGTAAACATTAAGGTACTTAATTACATGTAACTGCTTATCAGTATGGAAACGAAGTCTTGGAAATTATGACGATGTAGTGAATTTTATTTGAAAAGTATAACTTGAAAGATATTTTTACATACAAGATAGACAATATGGTAGACGTGAATACGCCTTAAGGTCACTGATTATAATGAACCAGACGCTAACATTTGTTGAAAAGGATCTTTTGTTCGTACTATTTTTGGGTTCCCAATGTTATACCTTTTGTACATTCCTGAAATAAGAATATGTACTTTCTTCACAATTAGTTTTCGATTGATCTCTATCTTATACCTTTAAACGAGCAATTCTTGTGTATATATGAGTATAATGAAGGTCATAAAGCATATGAATGGGTTGAATGAATTTAAAAGAGATAAAACATACTGTTAGACGGAGAGGCTTGTAATACGATGCTGTGGCGCGAGTTGTATAGGATGTTACAAATTTTGTTTCTTTTTTACTTAGTTAGTTTGTTGGAAATATAGTTTTTTTTAGGATTTTGTCGTTTTATGATTATTGGCAAGTAGCGTTAGACGTGTGTTGATTTATTGTCGCGATGGTAACGACACGCTGTATATATATTCATTTTTAGAAAATGTCGTTTTATCCGTTTTCAGGGAGTGAAAAATATCATTCGAATATGACGGTAAATTTCACCGAAAAAAAAATTTTATAATAGCTCGGTCAGTAATCGGGTGGCCCCCAAACAGAAGGCTGTGGTTCGTGTCATGATCATTTACACACTTATTTTTTTACTTTTTTTTCGATTCCAGATCATTGCTTTTTTATTTTCTGTCGATCCAAATGATTTTGTTATTTTTTTCCCTTTTCTTTAAAGTTCCTTCTTTTGTGAAAAACACCAGGTCATATTGTCTTATTATTACGTCGGTGAGATCGAAAAATATAAAGGATATAATTTCCAAAATACATCATTTACAAAAAAAAAAAAGCAAACCTAGCAGAGCTCGGTCCTCCAGGTACTATTTTTTAATTGCATTTTTTAATTGCAATAGAATCATTTAGATATTTTTTTGCCGGGTAAATTGAAAATCTTCCGATTCTAGGTTTGCGTATTTTCAAATTAATCCTAGCATATATTCATATGTTCATAAAATAGAATTGCTTGTAAACTGTAAATTCGGCATCTGTTTGTCGTTTCGAAGGTTTTAAAAATTAGTTACGTTAGTTACTTTGTGAAATTTTAGATTTTAAATTGTTTTCTCTTCTTCATAACATAATTAAAAAGGAT